CCTGCGCTGATACAGCCTCGCAGAGCTTTCATACGGCGGGACACCCCCCCCACGCCTTTCAGGGGAGGATGAGGCTGCCTTCCTGATTTTTTTTTAAGTTTTTAAGATTTTTTTTAAGTTTATGAGTTCCATTTTAAAGTTTTTAAGCTTAAGTTTTCTGAGCAGTTTTCTCTCTGTCTTCTTCAGCCAGGAGAGCTTTGTTGTATCAGATGTCTTCCGTGGATCAGAAGCACCATGCAAATACTATACAGCACTGTTAGGGTTACGCAAATATCCTTATGGTGATTTATAAGGGCACTTTGGATATTTCTTTTTCTTTCCAGCATGTGCAGCATTAAATAGCCCGCTAACTGCATTAATACTCTTCTGTCTTTATTCTTGAAGCACTTGCAGTGTACCTCAGTGTATCTTTCCTTGACACAGGGGGAAAAGAGGAAGGAGAAATTTCCAAATACACAATTACAGTTACCACATCTGTAGCCATGCCCTGGGACTGGCTGCAAGTATTTGGGTGTGCTTGCAGGTAATGAAAGGTGAGAAGGAAGACAAAAAGTAATAGCCGAGTAAGAAAACGAACAGAAAGAGCACTTTTTATTAGTTCATAGAATGCTTAAGGTTAGAAGAGACCTCTAGAGGTCATCTAGTCCAACCCCCTGCACACACAGGGTCACCTACAGCACGTGGCACAGGACTGCATCCAAGCGGGTTTTGAAGATCTCCAGAGAAGGAGACTCCACAACCTCTCTGGGCAGCCTGTTCCAGTGCTCTGTCACCCTCACTGTCAAGAAATTTTTCCTTAAGTTCCTGTGGAACTCTTGGTGCTTCAGTTTGTGGCCATTATCTCTAGTTCTGTCGGTGGCCACCAGTGAAAAGAGGCCAGCACCATCCTCCTCACTGCCTCCCTTGAGGTACTTCTAGACACTGCTCAGGTCCCCTCTCAGCCTTCTCTTCTCCAGGCTGAACAGGCCCAGCTCCCTCAGCCTCTCCTCGTAGGGCAGATGCTCAAGGCCCCTGATCATCCTTGTGGCCCTGCGCTGGACTCTCTCCAGCAGCTCCACATCCCTCTTGTACTGTGGAGCCCAGAACTGGACACAGTACTCCAGATGCGGCCTCACCAGGGCTGAGTAGAGGGGCAGGAGCACCTCCCTCGACCTGCTGGAGATGCTCTTCTTAATGCAGCCCAGGATCCCATTGGCCTTCTTGGCCACAAGAGCACACTGCTGCCTCATGGTCAACTTGTCGTCCACCATGACACCCAGGTCTTTCTCTGCAGAGCTGCTCTCCACAAGGTCAGTCCCCAGCCTGTACCGGTGTCTGGGGTTATTCCTTCCCAGGTGCAGGACCTTGCACTTGGCCTTGTTGAATTGCATGAGGTTTTTCACCGCCCAGTTGTCCAGTCTGTCCAGGTCCCTCTGGATGGCAGCGCAGCCCTCTGGGGTATCGGCTACTCCTCCCAGTTTAGTGTCATCAGCAAACTTGCTGAGGGAGCACTCTGTGCCTTCATCCAGGTCATTGATGAATAAATTGAACAGGACTGGACCGAGGACTGACAAGTTTGTGTAAAAAAATAAATATTATGCTGTTGTTTCACTTTTTAATGCCACCATTCCTCCCTATGGATAAAACATGCCATTAATGGCAAGTAATAGACAGAAATTGATACGACCTTAGTAGACTTAAACTACCAAACTTTTTTGACTAAGTATTTATACGCAGACTAAGGCTAAGCTATGACCAGAGCACTTTAAAGAACAGCTACTCACATGTACTGAGATGATATGATGAAGGCAGGGTTAGTTTCTTGTTAACTCAGGCTACAAACTTATCTGGCCTTCATATGAAGGAACAGGAACTTTGCCCAACTGTACATAAATAGAGTGACCTTGAGGTTTGGAGAGAAATAGAGAGAACCCTGATTAAAAAGAAAAAAAAAGGGGGGGGGGAAAGAAAAAAAAAAACCCACTAACCGCATTTATTGTTTGAAATGGTACTTACTGTCACTTGTTGCACATTTCAATACATCTTTATTTTTCTAATCAGTTTGCAAACCTTTCCTTACTTGGATAAATAAATTATTTTAAAGCTCACTGTTACAAAATAAATATTTACTGTTTTCTGTCATGTATCAAAATATACTTGCACAATGAAAACATTCCTTCCATTTTGGCACTTAAGGCAGAAATAGATATTATTTCACAAGCTTTCGGCAACATAGATTACTTGAATCTGAAGATATGTAATGTTGTAATGTTCTGCCACAAAATTCTCGAGGAAACATGCACAACGGTACGAATCTCTCCATTCAGAACATTCCTCTTATCTGTGATATGTAGCCAGTCTTCTGTCAAGCTCAAAACATTCAATGGTGCCTTATTTTCTGAGGGAAAAAAAAGAAAGTGGTGTAGTCATGCTAAGGTAACTTCACTTTCCAAAATCAATGTGTGAAGTCATCTATTAAAGAGTAAATGTATACTGAATATGATTCCATTTCTATTTAGTCTATTTTGTCATGGCACATTTTTAGGTAAGAGTTACATTTATGGCCAAGAAATTTATAATCAATCTTTTGTCACATCTTTCCCTTGCATGACTGTATTATGCTATAAACTGTAGCACACACAAGTTCAGATTGTTCTGATTATAAAATTGTACCATAAAGGCCTTTAGTGCTTTAGCATGTTGTGAAAGGAAGAAATGTGCTGAAATGCTGAAAGTCTCTCTCTACAATTCCAACTTTCACTCTGTAAAGCACTTAAAAATGCAGTGGAGCAATCTTCATGTAATGTGTAACTTCCAGCAGATGGAAAGCATTTTCAAATCCTTTCAGCTGCAGGTTTAGAAATAACAGTCTTGCAGGGACATGCCTTAACATTTCTACATATTCAAGGCTGGCAAAATGAAATGCTTCCTGTAATTCGGAAACTCTTAACAGATGAGGGAAAAAAAAAAGATTGATAACTTGTTACACAACTTTCAAGATAAAATGATGGCCTATTTTCGCATAATTTGAAATGTTACGCATTGTATGATCTTGGCAACTAGCTAGAAGCAATTATTTGTTCTTGCTACCATTAATCTGTAGGCAAATGGGTGTATCCCCAGAGTAAATACTATTTTATCTTCTGCAAATCGCAAGACATTGCCAAAATTTAAACCATTTTGTTCCTGTACGGTATTTGTATTTTCAAATATCTCTAGTGCAGTTTAATTGCTGTCTGGAAAATAATGAAGAAAGCAACCAATTATTTAGCTTGCATCCATATTATCAGGTAAGCCCTGGAAACTTTTTAGTGTTTCTACAGCATGAGGCATTAATAGCCGCAGAGGAATAGCCTTTCCCACTGTTTTTAAAATTCCTTTCCCAACTGAAATAAGTATTTGCAGCTTGCGAGCTGCAGTGAGGCTTTGATACTAAAATGTATCTTTTATCCAGGGTGAGTCTCAGAAAACAACACTACTTAATTTGCTGTCGCCATGAAACAATGTGCATGAATGTGCGTGATGATATAATTAGACGTTTTTTTCCTGCTTCTGCGTCAGCTGCTTTGCAATTTTTGCGTTTTTGTTTTTAACAATAAAAAGTTGAAACAATTTTATTCTTAAAAACTATCCTACTTTTTTTTTTTAATGATCGAATCCTTTTGCATTCTGCCTTACATCTCACAGTGTACTACAAGCTACTGAGAAACTTCAGCAAAAACTATAGCAGCTTTATGATGCTAATCACTGTTTTTCCTAAACCAAGTCAAGTTACTTGTCCACTTCTGGAATGTGCAAATCCTCTTCTTTTAAAGGGCTATCTCTGAACTCATTCCTGGGACGTAACCAGTAAGTCACCATTATGATCATGATTCAGATAGGGGTGTAATTCAATCAACTAAAAATAAGCAGCTACTGAACAGCCATAAATCAGCACCACAGCTCTCTGTCACCTCAGATACTGTGTCCTGGTCATCTAGCTAAATAAATAGGTAGAGGAATGGAATAAAATAATCCTTTGATATCAAGAGAGAAATATGTAAGGTGACTGGAGCTGCCTTTCCTTTGAGAAGACTGAAACTATTGTGGCAATATATTTTGATATGTATCTTTTTCCATTTCACTGAGGGATTGAAGTTATTTTTACTTAAGTCTGTAAAGAACTGAAAATCTTGGACTTAAAATCCTGCATAAGTATGAATTGACTTTACTTGAAATTGAATGTATTGAATTTAATCTCAAACATTAGTTAATTTAGGGAAATGAAACATCCCTCATCAAAGATAGCACAGATTTGATCACACATAAACCACTTTGGGGAAGTGAGTATTCAGAACACTTCTCTTATTTGTTCCCCGTTCTTTGCCTGGTGCCAGCTAGGTTCTTCAGTTTTCCAGCAACAGCTGCAGTGCCAGACTGCAAGAGCTCCTTCCCTGTCCTGGGAGGAAATCTCCCACTTCACTTCCCAGGAACTTGAACCCTCTGCCCTCCTGAAGTCCCAGCGGAGCCTATTGTCTTTCTGCCCGGGACAAACGGTTCCACCTCTCCCATTACTTCGGAACATGATAATTCATGAGCCCCCAGCCTGGCAGAGGCCTGGTGGCCTTTCTGCTGACCAGCACCTCTCTGGGGATTAACTCTTTTCCAGAGAAAGCCTATCTAGAGTCTAGGAGTCTACCTAGAAACTTTCACCCTCTGCAACAGGCTTTTTACCTTGCCTCAAGCCCGTAGACTGTGCGTTGTCCTCCTTTAACCTCTGCAGTACACGTGCCACCACTCAGGGAGGGTAAGAGAGTGCTGTTTACATAGACTAAAGAAGAAGCTCCAAAACGTTGTGTGCAATTTTGTTACCTGAGCCACAAGTCTAGAAAAACTGTGGCTTGCGGTATTGTCATGTTTTAACAGGCAAACTCTCAAACATAAAGTCAGATCATTATTATTATCTCACTTACGAAATTCCATGCTGTCTAAGGACAACACAAAGGAGAATTTGTCTGAAGTTTTATGGTATGGCTTTGCAGTTAGTTTTTCTTAAAAGACTGCAGCTGAGATTCATCTGATCAAACATACATCTCCATGTCCGAGTTGGCAGCCAAGGGGGATAGATTCCCTTTCCAAGCAATTTATTTTCCAAGCAATGGAGAGAAAAATATAATTCTAGGGAGAAGATCCTCTTATCCTCAAGCAGACATTTAAAACTGATGAGGTAAAGCCCACTGTAGCTTCTTTCAAATTAAATTTATGCTGAAAACAAAGCTTAATCAGCAAGTACATTGTATACCTTTCCTCTGCACAAGTCTGACAGAGTGGTCTCCTCACCCATGAAATGACCATAATAAAGAGGTAAGGCAAATATATAATGAACAGCACATGAATTAAGAGGTGAGTGGCCACACAAGGTACATTAGGTGTAATCCCTCCTTATCTCATCCCTAGTGTCTCCTAGGTCTAGCCGTGAGCCCAGGAGCAGCCCTGCTGACCAGCTACGCCACTGTCCTCTAATGGCTAGTGACAGCCACAAGACAGGAGGCAGGACAAGTCCACAACAGAAAGATGGAATGTATTTATTCCACCACCAGGTCCAATTCCTTAATAGTGAGAGTTAGCCAGAGTACTCCCCAAGATGATCTACTAACATTTTTAAAACATATACTGACTTTTTTTTTTTTTTTTTAATTTTGAGTGCTCTCTATGTGTCCTCTAGCTGTTCCTGATGGAAAGGTTACCGAATCAGCTTGCAAGGAAGGCAGCTGTCCATGCAAGAGCAACTAAGAGAAATACATGAGCGCTATAAGGAAGGCTTAAGTGTGAGCATGTTAACAGCAACTCTTCCCATGCGATTCCTAATTAAGAGCACGTGTGCCTTTGGCAACATTTTTAAAGGGAAAACTGAGCTGAATTCTCGGTGCAGCAATCCCAAGACTCTTGGGACTGCAAATCCCAAGCAATCCCAAGAAATTTGTACAGGTGAAAAGTAATGTGAAGAATATCCAGAAATTTAAAAATAAATATTTTATTTTTCTGTAGGCTTTGTACATGATAACAACAAGTTTTTACTGTGCTGGAAGCTTGAAGCCTTTGTTTTATTTTATTATAGTGATAATTAAAAGTCAAAGAGGTTTGTCATGGGAGGCTATATTTTTTCAAGGCCAATTTTAATTATTTTTAACTTCTCAGCTATTTAACATTTTTATCTGTCTGTTCTCAGAATTTTCCTTTTTAAGGTTAGTGAGTAAGTTCAAGAACCTCGAGGAGGAGACGACAAGATAGGAAAGAGCTTGGATCCCTAATGTAAACACAAAACTCAGTCTACTACTAGAGTTAATTCTTATTTCTGAATAATGATATCCTCATATCACCTGGCTGTAATAAACAGGGGTCACCTATGCACTGGGATACTACAGATTTCAAAGTTACCTCCCTGATAGGGACAAATGAGATGCAATGGTACCGGTTCAGGTTCCCAAATGCAGACAACCCTTACTGAAGGGGTTGATGATGGAAATGATGATGGAAATCCATCCAGACTGATGTATTTTTTTTTTCCTGCTCGAAACAGCCTTTCTCATAATTTGAAGATTTACATGGAGAACATTCCTCTGTACAACTTATAAGAGTAGGCAGCATCTCACCATGGCTCAGAAAACAGGGTAGTTGAATGTTAGTCAAGTCACCAACACTGGGAAGGAGGCTTGGAGCAGAGAAAGCCATTAGATGGGATGCTTACTGGATGCCTTCTACCAGCTGCGCTGCGTGGTGGCTTGAGTGCTAGATTATAAATATTTCCCCTTGTGAAAAGGGGAAGTTGGCTGGATGAACACTGAATCAGCAAGACATATTCATATCCTCGGCAGAGATTGGTGTGTAAGAAAGCAGGAATGGGAAGCATTGAATTAGGCCTGGGAAGTCCCCACTCTCCAAAGGCACATGAGG